AAAGTTAAGGTATTTCTTGTTTGGTTCATCTCTCTCTCTCTCTCCCTCTCTCTCTCTCTCAAACATGGCTTCCTTTGTCTTGATCTCCTTCAGTTTGTTAATCTTTTCATTCTGTTATCTCGAGGGGCCCCCATTTGAACGTTCATTTAAATCCTGAACCTGGTAAAGCATGAACAAGGCCAAAACCTTGTCATACACAATGCATTCCCATCTCTTATGTCTAATGTTTCGGTCTTGCTAATTGTCCTTTAATTTGACACACTGGCTTCTGCTAACCCATAAGTTTGTGTGACTGCTCAAAACTTCAAAAGTTATTCTTCATATTCATTGATTTAGTAGACAATTGATAAAACTAGTTAGACCAATTACTAGTAACATTACTGAAGGGTAACTGTACCTATGGTGCCACCTATATGTAAAACAAACGTAACACCATCCATCTGATTTGAATGGACAATTGGGATATCTTTAGTCATTATGTGACAAATTAGTTCTTGAGAGTCTAATCTTGATTAGATGGCTCAGAGTATTTTATTTTGTTATTTTACTTGAAGATAAAAATTAGCAAACCACCCTATATATGTTTATGAATGTTAAAGAACTTTATTTATGAAGATCTCATTGTTTAACAAAAAGAGAATCCAAGTTTGTCATGGGGAACCGGAGAAATTGAAGGCTATCGGTATTGAGAAACTGAGAAACAAAATTGAAGACTATTGTCAAATCATATAAAAGATTATAAGATAAAGTATATGATAAGATTGTTTGCTTTTGGTGTGAAATAAAACAATCACCCCTTGCCCCCGCAAGTGAAATCTACTTGAAATCAGGTGAATGGGAAGGAGATTGGGGTTGTGCAGCTGATTGTGCTCAAATTCCATAAAATGGTCAAAGGGATAGACCTAGTTGTCATCTTTTTCATCTAATGGTGTGGGTGCCTGTAATCTTTATGCACGAAAAATAATGGTTACTATGTATAGGTGTGGTAATTGGGTTTACTTGTTCACCCGACTAGTTAACCCGACATCAGCTCGGGTCTAGACTTGCATATTGGATGTGGTTGGTTGGTTCCAAATCCAAGTCACTTACACCTGATCTCGGTTGGGTCTGAATTTGGTCCATCTTGAACCTTATCAAGTTGGGTTAGGTTTCGGTCAAGGTTGACTTGACCCAATTCGGACTGAATCTAATATTTATATGTAATATATATGTACATACTCTCAACATTATTTATATGTTATAAATGGTTATAATAAAAATTATTCTTCAAGCTAGACCCAGAGTTGATCTGAACTAGCTGGTCCGGTTTGGATCCAATGGCTTAAACCTAACAGATGTCCAAATTTGGTTTAGGTCAAAGTAGGAGCAACCCGACCTAGATCCAACCAGACTAATCCATTAACACCCCTCCCATCCCCAAAAAACTAGGTCAATATTACAAAATATGACAAGGTAATGACCCAGACACATACATCTTGAAAAAGTTAGTTTAGGAAGTAGAAATTTTTGGGTAACAGTAAGTATAATAAAATCATGAGGACTATGGAAAAACATATGGAAATATATAGAATAAGATCATTTAAGTACAAAGAGATCACCATCATTATTGATTATTAGATGTAAAATTGGGTAGGGTGATGTTGTGGCACATTTCAATATGTCAGATTTCATATTCAATGACTAAGAGTGTGTGTGAGCTTCTTGTACTAAAAGTAAATGTCTTATACAATTTACGATCGATAAAATATATCTCGAAGTGTTGGATTTGGTGCTATAAAGAATCACCAACATTAAGATATTCCAAAATTATATGGGATTGAGATATTCCCATATTTTGTAGGATTGAGATATTGAGATATTCTCATATTTTGTGGGATTGAATTGATATTGATAAGTTTATTAAATTAAATAGAAATCCAAAAAGATTAGGACTCTTGGATTTATCTCTTGGTCTTTTGAGATATATATTATATCAATAAGAAATTTCATATTTTGTGTGGATTTCTAATTATATATATGAGATGAAAGTGCAGAGAATTTGTGTGCTTAATTTGGGTCACCATATGATAATAGTCGTTGCTCTAGAGAGAGAGAGGGAGGTAGAGCCTCCTGTGCATAAGATGTGATTTCCTCCTAGAGAAGAGAACTTCTTTGAATAGAAACATTGTGATGGTGCTTCTTTTGGACTCCCGAAGATTGAGAGGCTTGTTTATTGTAGAGAAGTGGTTCCATTGAGATTTTGGGTGTTTTCCCTTTTAGTGAGATAAAGTCTCGTTTGCTCTCAAAATTCTCTTCCTTGACAATGATTTACTTATGGAATAGAGATAAAAGATCAGCAGTGGTGCCGTTAGAGAGAGTTGGTTTAAAATGGTTTGCTCAACTTGGGGTTTTTGTCGAGGGTTGTTCCAAAATCTTTGATGTAATTGTCATTGGTAGATCGAATTTCAGTTTGCCCTGTCCGTGGATGTAGCCCTTCTTAGGTGAACCACGTAAATATTTGTTTTCTTCTAGTATGTGTTTTATGTTTTATTTCTCATACTTTATTTGTCAAAAATCAATCCGCTTCTATGCACAACAAGTGGTATCACAGCACAACATGATGTTTTTAGGGTGCAGTTGGCATACGGATGCATCCATAGTTGTAGAGGTAAGGTGTACCTTCAAATTTTATCATGGTATATAATTTTGATGTAAAATGTTATTAGGATTATCTCAAAATCTATTTTTATATCTAATTATAAAATTTTTAATTTAAAAAAATAGTTAAAATCAAGTAGGTCTATAAACATATGAAAATCTTGAAAATGAACGGTGTAGATAATATGTTGTAAAATGAACTATTTTTGAGACTTAAAATCTTTTTATTTTTCATGGTCATACATCTCGACATCGAGATGATCAATCAAAAGGTTTTTCAACATTAAAACTATTTTTTCCGATAGATTTTTAAAATGCATCCGTAGCCGTAGAGGTAAGATTGCAACCTTATATAAACTTTTTCCTTGTAGGAGTTCCATGCCATTGTCGATAATGGCCGGTGAAGGAGTGACTTAACATGTCTCAGTGGTGGGCCGTGGGCCCATCCTCCTTTCTCATACTGATACATAAGAGCTGTGGTTTATCCATAGTCCTTGGGATTATATTATACCTTCTCTTATTTTATTTGAGACTGATGATCGAAATCATTATTTGGTAATTTCCCATGTGATTTGAGTCTGATAATCAAAATATTATTTGTTATTTTCATTTCTTTTATGTCAGACTAATGAACAATACCATTATTTGTTACTTTCCCTTGAGTTAAGAGACTGATAATAAAATTTATCATTTCGTATTTTCCCATGCGAACGGTTTCAAATTCCTCCTTAACAAGAACTCCACCATGTCCATGAATTATCTTTTACTTCTCTCTCTAAAATTTTTTATTTTCAGGGGTCACCTGCGCAGTGGGAATCGAACATGGAAGTTGGTGTTGCATGTGTTGATACCATAACCTATCAAGCCATGCATGATTTTTATTTATTTATTTTTTGGGGTAATTGGATGTGAGATATAGTGGGCATTGGTGGTTAAAATGGTAATTGCCTCAACATGACATTCTACCCTCCATTCCCACTCTTAACATATTAAAAAAAAATATAAACATAAATAAGAAAATAAAAAAAACCGTTTCAAAAAATAAAAGAAAAAAAGTCCAAAAAAAATTGGAAAGAGGGCAACTACTGAAAGGAAAAGTGTTAATGTGAATAGTTGATGAGGCGGTTCATTTCCTATGTTCGTGATATGGCAAATGCTAAAGGCTCGTCCCCATCATTTCAAGC